TGTCTTCTTCTTCCAGGATAGTCTGCCTGCCGAAGGCTATTATTGCATGTGATCAATACGGTATTCCGAAGCCAATATCCCGTTTCGTTCTTCCACTTGCAGCTACAATGAAGAGTGATGCATCTGCCATCTTCATCGCAGCCTCGTGTATCTTTGTTGCTCAACAACAAAATGTTGAGCTTGACGCAGGCAAGATTGTAATTATCATGTAAGCAATCCGCTGTTTTTTTCAATGCTAACGCCTTTTTGCATCAGCTTTCATTCTCCATCGTCTTGTTTAATTTAGAATCTTGTCATTCGCTTACGTCTCAGCTCTGCCAAATATTCCAAGTGCCAGCGTGGTAGCCGTGGTTACAATTCTTAGTTCGGTTGGTGTTAATGCAAAGGGCGCCTCATTGCTCTTTGCAGTTGAGTTCATCAAGTAAGTTATCGATCGGTTTCCATAAAATGAAATTTGTATTTTGCTTCCATTTTGGGCTGAGGACTGGACTCTTGCCTAACAAAGTAAGACGGTAGCAAATGTGTATGGCAAAATCGCCACGTGTTTTTAGAGTTATAACTGGTCAGTGAATGCCCAATTGAGCGCTTTGTCGAACGGTAGAAAATCGATAAGAACCCAGTTTGGAGATATCACATTCAGTTGCAAAGGCATTCGATATACTTATGTTACCTCATTAGCCCCACCTAGTAATTATAGGAGAGGAGGAGAGAAGAGGTTCTTCATTATCCCATTTAGGTTAAAACGAATTCTAGATCTACAGACTAAGAAGAACCAATCCACGTCTTTGAAAATGTTTTCAATAAGCAAACGAGATACTTCTCCGGAAAGGAAGTTAATCATATGTGAGCCCTACCGAAGTCCTTAAAAATTTCCTTTCCACTTTAGTGACCGTCTTCGATCGGGTGGCGTGGCACTGTCACATCTCTACTGTGCTGTTTTCACCTACCACGCCGTTGAAAAAGACTTTAAGAACATCAAGGAAACGGATAAGGTCGGAGATGATGGTGACGCTGAGTCATTTGATGGTGAAGTAGTCAATTAAACAAATGACTGAATCGATTTTGTCTACTTTTGCAAAAACTTTTTCTATATGCTTGTATTATAGGAAAATTATATATCCCTGGAAAGAAATTCGCATCTTTTTTTTGTCATTTTCGGGTAGTGGTTTACTATTGCCACTTTAGCAGTGCGTTTATGTACGTATGAAGAACGGTAAATTGCGTTAATACCGCTCCCCAGTTCTTTCTAGTCTTCTTCATAAAGCAAAGTTGCAAGTACTCGTTTAAAGAGATAGTTAAATTAACTGTCTACTAAGTTGTAGAGGGCTTCCGTTTGAATAAAGGTGAAAAATAGACCGTGCTGACTATCTATTGCGCACTTAAGAGTCAGTCCAAATGATGCCCTGTTCCAGAAGATTGTTGGTAATTTACTCTACACTTAGTTAAAGTAGTAAATGATGATGCTAGACTAATAGTGAAGTGATAGAAGTGTAATGATAGACATCTGAATGAATACCCGTGGAGCCGAAATTTACAATAAATTACAGGGCCTCTACTAACTTATAGCTCGTCGAA